TTAAAAATTTTGACAAAAATAATTCAACATGAATAGTGATGTTTTATCTACTAAGTATTTTAGAGCAGAAGAAGTATATAGATATCTTTTTTTTGTATTAAATACTTCTTTAAATAGTGAGTGTTTATTTGCATCTATTATTTTTTTAAAAATTATTTATATAACTAGTAAAATTATTGCTTTATTTAAAACAAAGTTTTTTTTAACCTATCTAGAACACATGCCTGTTGGATAATATTTTCAGCACTATTATAAGCTGATGTATTTACTTGTATTTAGCTATAAAAGTTTTCAATAAAATAATTGTTGAAGTTTACTAAAAACATTTTAAAAATATCCAACATTAGATGTTTTTTGGTTTTTCAATAAAAAATATCCAACAAAAATGCCAAAAGAACCTTGTTATAATTTTTATAATTCTAACATAGAGCGAAAGTCCATATTCAAAAAATAGTTTTGATATATTTATCAAAAGAACATGAGCAAAAAAGAACTGCATATATATCTAAAGTTGCCTAAATAATGTTATCAAGAAGATCAACTAACTTTCTATACTCGATATCTTTATATAGAGAGTCAAAATTTTCTAATATTTTTACTTTTATCTTTAACTATCCTTGATAGGTAAGTTCAAGTAGAAGGTTTATCTTTCATGGTTTTGGTTTTTTCGCAAGACTTTTTCCCTTAAGATTTTTTTTTTTAGAATTTGTAAGACTCTTTTATTTTTCAAAAACCTTGTGAAAAAGTTTTTAAAAAAAGAATGATAGATTAATATAACCTGTTTCTGACTATTTAATAAAATTTGGAGTGGATCTAATATAAATATAAAGGCATTAATGTTAATTGGTACTTTTATATTTGTATTTTGTTTATGTAAATAAGTTAATGCCTTTTGTATAAAAGGTTGTTTAAGCCAGTTGGCAATGACTAGCATTATATAATTATTCACATGATAAAAGTTACCTATCCAATTTCGTGGAAGGAATTTCCAAAAAGATTCATTAAAATATGGGGTATCAAAGTCTTCTGGACATGCAAATTTAACATGATGTCCTTGCCAATTATATTGACCGAAACCCCAACTTATACCTAGAGAAATATCAATTAATTTTGCCATTGAGAATATAAAGCTTGATCGTATTTTGTACAATCTACCACCTATGTGCACAGCTTCATGGGTTATCACGGCACCATAAGTTGCCATTAATAATGCACCATTTAATGCGTATATTATCCATTCAAATGAATCTGAATTACTGGATTGCCACAAAGTTACCAAAAGATAAAATAGTGTGCATATTTCATGAATAAAAATTCGCATTGGAGAAGGTTCAGGTGCATCTAGTGCTTTAAAACCTGTAATATTGTCAAATTGTGATACCATAATAAATGTGAAAATTTGTGGAATAAATAATGCATATGGTGAGGAAATCATTAATACTGTAAGATATAAAAAGGGATAAATCCAATCGAGCTGCCATGCGTGCTTAGGTGGTGATATTGAGGCTAAAAGCCTTAAAATTATATTAATCATCGCTTCTAAAATACATACTATAATCCATAATAAACCGAATAAAATTGCAAGTAAAATGTTTGGCTTTTTGCCAACTACTGGTACACTTTGTGCACCTTTTCCATTTAATTTGGCATGAATTTGCTGTCCTACTAATTCACCACTGCGCACTGCACCTTCAACATATCCTACAAAAGCTGGTGCATATTCTGCTGCAGCAAAGAAAATATTTTTATGTGGACCATCAGGTTCATGCAATTTTTTTCCTAGTGTAGTTAATACGCCAGGTCGCGTATAAGTATTTGGACCACCTCTTATCCACTCATTTTCTTTCCATTCGTACCATTCTACACTATTGGCCGTCCGTGCCATCTCCATCTGCGTTAATATAACTGCATCTTCTTTCAATTGTCGTTCAACTTCTTCTTTGTATTGATC